CCTTTTCCACCCCATCCCTACTGGCTACAGCCCCTCCTTGCACCATCCCAACACCCTAACTCACACACCCTGCCCACCCTCTCCAAACCGGGATTCCGTGCCTCCAGACTGCTCACTCACTGCCTTGCCGAGACCACCTACCCCAAGCACCCTCACGCACCGTAGTTCTACTGCCTCAATCCCCCACGAGGTTAAAGCACTGGCACCAGCTTCCTGCGGGGGAGGAGGGGCAGAAAGCACCGAGGCTCCCAGCAAGCTGCTGCTTCCCCTCCCTCTACCTTGGCTGGGGGAAGGGAAGTGGCAGCGTGCAGGGAGCCTCTGGGCTCTCTCATCCTTGCCCCACCTCCTCCAAGAAGCCGGCACTGGTGCTTCAACCTTATGGGGGGGGGGGAGCTGGGCTGGAGAGTGACAGGGCTGGAGGTGTGGAGTCTCGGCAGATCAGTGAATAAGAAAGCCAGAGAGAGGGGGGCTGGTGAGCATAGCGAACAGGGGCGCAGCTCCCTAGCAGCTAGTTTAAAAAAGTGAACCCAGTATCTGTTTCTAGCTATGTGTGTCATGGTACAGTAGGGGTCTGGAGATAATTCATACAATTAAGAACTGCACTGGAGAACACAGTTGCAAGCACTTTGGGGTTTAGTACAGTGGAGTATCTATTCTACACAATGCAGTTGTCCTTCCTGCACTTGGAGACCACCTCTGCAGGAATTGTTTGCTATTGGGCCCTTAACAACGTCCCTTCGAAATACTTCCAACTCTCCTCAGTTGTTTTTCCCTTCAGTCTTGCTTCCCATGGGACCTTACCTACAAGTTCTCTGAGCTTATCAAAATCTGCCTTCCTGAAATCCATTACCTCAATTGTGCAGAAGTGTGAATTGTGAGGTTTAGTTCAGACACACTTAAAAGGGAGCCAAAATCTGTAATGGTCAATTGAAAACTATTTAGAGTTGATTTTTAAGCCCTTCAAAATTAATTTTCTGTGAGGAAAACTCAAATGAACGCTATACCAGACATAGGTACTGCTGTAACAAAATTCCTATCCAGATAAACAAGTTACTAACATTCTCCTAATAAAGGCCAGCTAGCAGAGACATTGACAGACATATGCAACAGAACGCACCCAGTCCGCAGTGCAGAAATTCACAGCCTCAGCAAAGTTGTAGCCCTGGTTAAATCCGGAGTGATAAGCACGAGGAAAAGTCACAACAAACTCACCAGCGCACTGATTGGTCCTGTACACCTACATATAAAGCAGGGAGAGGAAAAGGAAAGAGAAAACTTTGAGATTGGCAGCAGACAGAAAACTGAAATAATTTTTTTAAAAAAGGACATTGAAACCATCTCCTTTCACCTGTAGGAGACCCTACGGAATTTAGCTAGCACAGGAGAAATTAGGAGAGTATTTATCCTTTTGAAAAGTAAACTTTTGACAATTTTACTATAAAAAGTTAAATAAAAGAATCAGCAGTTAAAGGCCCAGCACTCAGCTTGTCCCTTTTGGGATTCAAGCAGAAAGTTTCTCTATCAGTGAGTGAATCATTACTTAACCCTTCACAACACACAGTTTAAAAAACTTCCGATAATCCGGCACCTTTAGGACCCAGGGGGTGCCGGATTATCAGATATGCCGGACTATCAGAAGGGGGGGCTATGAGGGGTCTGGAGTGGGGTGGGAGGGGATGCCACCTCAGACCCCTCAAAGCCCCCCCTTACGATAGTCCGGCTCTGCCCCATGCGTCCCTGATTCAGCTGCTGCTGGTCAGTTTCAGCAGCAGCTGAATCGGGGATGCCTGCAATAGAGAAGTTGGGGGGG